ATGCGCACGCATCCACGACATCAATTCGTTTTCTTAATCGAAAAACATCATAACGATTTACAATTATTTTGTTGGATTACCCGCGTACAACGCCAGACAGAAAGTTCAGTAAAGAAGGTTCAGAGTATAGATTTACGATCACACGGTCGAGGGTTGGATCCCACCATTCGACTTTAAACCATTCTTTGGAAACCCTATTTAACTAGAATATCAGTTAAAAATAGCATTGAGTGTCTGTTGTAGGTGTAAGTGTTGTGTAGACTGACCAGAGGCAGAGGAAGGCGAAGGCGATGACGCCGGGGCGCGTGAGGAAGGCGAGCGCGCGGCGCAGCGCGGGCCGCGTGTGCAGGCGCAGCACGCCCTCGCTCACCACGCCCCACACGCGCTCGTACGTCACGAAGGGCCCGCATGCCTCAGACGACCCTCTGAACAAATACCTTACTTCTACATATACCTTGTGTAAAAAAAATATTTTTTTTATTTATTTATACAAAAACAGAATTATAATTCACGTATACATAATGTTACAAATATATTTCACACCTATTTTTCACTTTTAATTTTTAAAATTCTGTATTTTGTTCAATTATATATCCTCGGCTCCTTTACTAGGTTGGTTCCCTGTATTAAAGGAGCCAATGACTTCCCTTACTTCGTTTAATATTATCACAAAATTAACAAAAACAAAATAAATTCAGTACTTCACCATTATCTATACTATTATAATAAAGCGTAAACACACACTTCTTTGTTACCTAAGATCTCAGCAATTACAGCATGTTTTTGAATAATACTTTTTTTAAATAAAAAACCCTACACTTACATCAGGCTTGAGGCTATATATTTTCACGCCATTAAACTTAGGATATAAATATTTTGATAAAAACCCTAATGTGGGAAAGAGACCATAAATTGTTGCCAACATCAAGGAAGCAAGATTGCCGAGGTTTGTTATGTTGTCATTTTGACATTTGCTATTTATAATTTGACAAATGTAGACAATGAAATAAATTTTTTATAATTTCATGCGGATGAAGTCGCACGGGAACACCTAGTTTGATAATAAATACATAATAAAAATTGGAAGTTTACATTTTTATGTAGTTAGTTATGTAGGTGTAGGTGTGTGCGTGTGTTTGTGTGTACATGTGTGTATAGGTGGGTGGTTATTTATTTAGATGAATGTAAGGAGTACATACTAATATATTTATACTAATAATATTGAAAGAAAATATAAAAAAAACTATATACCTCGTATTATCACGTGTGGTTTTATCCGAATAATTATAAAAACTATACTTTATTATTCTCATTTCAAAAACTTTCAATTCCAAATGTCAGCAATCACGTTTTATTGCTGTAACCTTGTAGTTTTGTCCCTTTCCCGCAAGACGGTTTTTAGTTACTATGTAAGTCTAAAATTATAGACATTTTACTGTAAATGATAAAACTGACCGCAGGAAGAGGCTGCCGATCGAGAAGATCGTAACGAAGAGGGATAGCGTGACCAGCATGTACAGCACCGTCTGCGTCTGCGCAGCGCGCCACACCTGCAACGTGCCACATCACATAAATCTTACATCTTACTAATATTATAAACCAGCTATCGCCCGAGACTCCGTCCGAGTGGAATTTAAAAAAAAACAAAAGTATGTATCATATATGATAAGCCTTAACAAAGTTAAACTTAGGAATAGACTGAGTATAAGCAAATATTAGTACAAATTTTGCTTAAAATCAGTTTCTTTTTTTAACAGTGGTAGTGCCCGCTTTAACATGTTAGCAGTGCAGGGCCGGCGCGCCCCCAGTAATACCACGACCACACAGAAGACAGGCGTGAAAAGGAAGTAATTCCGTGTTTCGTCTGATGAGTGTGGTGCCGGAGGCCTAATTTAAGTCCCTTTCTCTTTACCACCCTTTTTTATAAGAGGATGGGAAGGGGAAGTGGAT